GGACACAGACATAGAACAGAGAAACACAGGCACAAGCACCGATTCACAAGACAGGATTCAGGCAGGTTCACAGGACCCTTACCATGGAGACAGCAGCATAATTAGCTATATATAAGCACTCAAAGGAACTCTATGGGTTGAGAGTACTTAACTTTCTCTCTCGAAAATATTTTCCAGAAATTTATTTACTTCGTTGGTGATTTCTTGGCAAGAAATTACAATTGATTCATAATTGGGGGGACTGCAATATTGATGTATATTGTACAGTATATTGATATATACAATATTCAAAAGATGTCTCTCAAAATGAAACATAGCATAAAAAATACTGGTGGAGAATATGAGTGAAGGAGACTTGAGAGGTGGCTCAATGGTTAAAGGCCTCAACTCCTCGATGATGGGTCATAACCTGAATGGTAAAACAAACACTTTAATCCCTGGGCTGTTTTCTGTCTTGATGTTTATCACAGCAACAAAAGCAAAGTTAGACAGGAGGGTTAGAGCAAAGCCTGGATTCATCCGCTATAGGCCTCAGATGTTATCTGATGGCATTCTTAGCCTTTGGGTTAAGTGAAAGCCACAAGTCAGTGTGTACCTAATAGTCACCAGGAAGTTACGTCACACAGTGACTGACTATTTAGAGGCTAAGCTAGTCCAAGTTAAAATGGATCTGCAGCATCCTAACTCTCTACGTACAGTCAATTGGCCTTGTAGAATGCTTAATATAGATGTGGCCTTTTTGTTTTTTCCAGAGTCAACCATCACCACAGCCCAGGGCAACTGTTAAAAATATATCTTTTCCTGCCCACAACATTTATTTACTTACTTTTTGGGGGTGTGGCAGGTCACGCATATAGAAGTCAGAGAACAACTTGTGAAAGTTCTCTCCACCATCTAGGTTCTGAAGATCAAATTCGAGTGATAGGTCTGATGGAAAGCACTTTTACCCCGAGCCATTCTGTCTGCCTTGATCCATCTTTTGTCTTTGTATCTCCTGTAGTGAAAATTTTGGTTTCTTGAAAAGCCTAGTTAGTTATGTTATGCGAATATGTTTTTGTTCTGATTCCAGGTCTGGGATACAGGGCTGCTTCAGACTGTCCACAGCAGCTGACTAGGATTGAGTTCATCCTCAGGCAGCGGCCTGACTGCCAACTGAAGATAGTTTACATTGGGAATTCTGAGGACTCTGGAGAGGCATAAAAATGCCAGAGGCCTGAGAGACTGCAGTAGCTGCTGCTACCTCTGCTGTGGTTGCTTTTGCTGGTCGCTAGATTGCTGGTTGCTAATTGTGTTTGCTGCTTTAACTGGCTTGCTGGTTGGAGATATCCTGATGGCTTGCGCCAAGGATCTGAACACCCCTAAATCAGCAGGAAGTAGTCTAATGAGATGGATGTCCCCTTTCTACTCTAACCTTTTTCCTCACCTACCTAGTGTTGGGGAGTTGGAAGGGATTGGGTGGCAGACGTAAGAACCCAATAAAGTAGCCAGAAAGTTATAATCTCAAACATTTTCTGCAGTCCCGGGAAGGCAGGGCCAGGCACATGCCAGTGAAGAGTGTTAATGAGCGGTTCTCAGCACTCCTTTTATTGTTACTATTGACTCTTAGACAGGTTTCGCCAAGCTGCCCATGCTGCCCTTGACCTCATTCTATAGCCCAGGCAGGCCTTGAGTTTCTATCCTCTTGCTTCAGCCTCTGGCATGCCTACGATTATAGGCCAGGGCAGTCCCCGCTTCTACAAACATTTTTCATTGCTACTTGCACGCAAGGCACCTCCCCAGAGCTGGAGCTTATAAGTTCAGTAGGAAAGGTAGGCACTGATCAAGTCTTCCGTGAGTATGTAATTAAACTGTAAGCAGAAGCGAGGGCCATGCAAGTGAAGGCTAGGGGTTCTCAGCCCTGCTCAGCGTTTCCAGGCACTTGCTGCCTTAGGACCAAAAGTTCAGAGATAGGAATTAGGACAAAGTTTCATTATGGATGAAAGTCCACACTCAGGGTTGCTCAGACACCCTTCCTCAGAAAGGAAAACTAAAGTTGAAGTTTTTTTTTTCTTTTCTTCTCTCTTTTCCTTCCTCTCTCCCTCCTCCCTGCCCCCTTTCTTTTTCTTTTCTTTCCTTCTTTGTTTCTTTCTTCTTTTCTTCCTTTTTTCTTCCCTCCCTCCCTCCCTCTTTCTTTTTTCTTTCTTTGTTTCTTTGTTTCTTTCTTCTCTCTCTCTCTCTCTCTCTCTCTCTCTCTCTCTCTCTCTCTCTCTCTC